CTGAGCATCTGTGCGGGTCTGGGCATCCGAACTCAGGTCCTCATTTTTGCAACAAGCACTTTACCCAACGAGCCATCTCCCCAGCCTCAAAATTGTAAGGAAAGAATACTCCCAGTAGAGGAGGAGTGGACATGGCTCTTGCGCGCCCTTGCTGGAGTCCTGTGCTGTGCTAGTTACCTTGTGGGGGGTGGGGATTTCTGAAGAGCTTGGCTCCCTGTGGCTGGAGCACCTGGAAGACGGAGGGAAAGATCATGGCTGCTGGCCAACCACAGGCTCGCCTGTGCTCCGGTGTCACCATGCGCAGTCATTTTCTAGCTCACAGGGTGAGAGAAGGAGGTGGGAATCTTCATTTCTTGGGCACTAAATGTCCATGATGAAGAGTATGAAGTTGTAAAAGTGCGGATTTGAGTGGCGAGGGAAGTGGATGGCTTTGAGTAGCAATAAAATGAGCTCGCTGATCCAAGGAGAGGCGTGAGATCATGGGCAGGGGAGGGGCCAGTCTCCTTCCTGTGAGGCGCGTGCCCAGCGCTCTACTTTTCTAGCTTCCTGGGTTCTTCTGCACTGTGCCCTTCCCCCTCCCACTAGAATGGTTACACTTAGAGCCATAAAGACCCTAAAAAACAAGAGCACTTGTCCACTATGTCTCTCAAATACCAAACAAGTACTTTTCCTACCCTACGTCCACTCCAGTCCATCCAGAAGCCACTGTCCTCTAGCATACCTGAGTACCTGAGTGTGGGCAGCAGTTAACAATACTTGGTAAGAAAACCCCTTTAACATAACCTGCCTATAGAAATCTAGATGATTCTGCCCTAAAGAGGTAAAGACAGGATCACTATGCGCTCTTCCTAATGCTGCCTTCTCCAGTGCCTTCCCTTAGAAGACAGTGGGAGAGGGCCAGAGACTGCCAAGATCTCGCAGAGGTCCAAGTCTCCAGATGTGACCTGTGAGGTGGCTGGGACTTCTCCCTAGCCAGGTAGAGAATGTGAGGGTGTGAGTTCTCGTGCTCAGCATCTCAGAACTCTCTACTTCCAGTTCTGGTGTTAGCTGACAGACTTATGGCTCCAGGTGACATAAATCTTATAGCTGTGTGCTGACGCTGGCAGCCTGGCCCTCAGCAGCCCAGGAACTCCTTGGCTCCAGGCAGCTGCTGGGAGCAGCAGCAGAGAACCCAAGTATTCAAACTCCAAGCTTCAGGGTCAGGATCCTTAGCCTTCTTCAAGGTCTGGAAGCTGTTTCTAAAATGCAAGTCCATCTCATCACTTCTAACAAGCCCACATCTAGACCACGCGTGGACTGTCACTTCTAACAAGCCCACACCTAGACCACGCGTGGACTGTCACTTCTAACCACAGCCCACATCTAGACCATGCATGGACTGTCACTTCTAACCACAGCTCACATCTAGACCATGCGTGGAATGTCACTTCTAACAACAGCCCACATCTGGACCACGTGCGGATTGTTGTTCCAGACACTATGCATGGCTCCTCCTGACATCCAAACATTCCTGTGAGCTTCTAAGCAGGAAAACACTTCTAGCCTCTGCCTTTGCCCCCACGCCTCTCTCTGAACCACAAATACATGCTCCAACCCAGCAGTAAGTCACCAGGTAGTCTTCTGTTTGCAGTGATGCTCTCAAGAAACCTGCAGCCTCAGAAGCAGGAACACCACTCAGTAACACAGTAGTTACATCTGTTCTCACAGTGTGCTTTAGACACTCAAGGGTGGGATTACTTTCATTTTACAGAAAACTGTAGGTTAGTTAAACAACTTACCCAGGATTTCTAAGCAACCAAATGTAAATAGAATTCAAAACCTATTCCCTTATTCTTTTGAAAATGGAAGATGACAAACATCGTTTGTATTCCCCCCTGAATCTGAGTCGGCCTCCTTGGAGGCTTCACCTTCAGGGCCAGGCAGTCCTGCCTGCTACACTTGGACCTTGCAGGAAGCAAACCAGTCAATGTCATCTCATTTCCAAACAGCTGAAGGAAACCATGATGAATTCTAGTAGAGCCTTTGGATAGGACGAGGCCATGCACATGCAAGTTTGTAGAAACCATGATGAATTCTAGTAGAGCCTTTGGATAGGACGAGGCCATGCACATGCAAGTTTATAGGAAACTATTCCAAGACAAACCTAAAAGCCCATGTATTCAAAGGGGACAGAACAACATTAATTTGTAGCCAAAATAAACCCATCAACTCCCAGTCCCAAATAGAAACAGTTTGGAACTCTTTTTAAAAGTATTCTCAGGACCAGAGAGATGGCTCAGCTATTGAGAGCACTAGCTGTTCTTCCAGAGGTTGAGTTCAATTCCCAGCAACCACATGGTGGCTCACAGTAATCTGTAATGAGATCTGGCGCCCTCTATTGACCTGCAGGCATATATGCAGACAGAACACTATACATAATAAAATCTTTAAAAAATACTGCACACTAGTTCCAAACTCCGCAATTCAACCAGATAAGTGATCATCAAAGCGCCATCTAGTATACAGTTAAGTGCCTGACTCAGTCGCTAATGTACAAAGCTGACTGCTTCATCCCCCTGGTCCAGTTACTCAAACTGCTCTGAGTGAACGGACTGTAGAAGGGGCTGTTAAAATAAACAGAATCACAGCAAGCAACTGTGTGCATAGCCTAAGATCTCAGAAAACCGAGTCCATTCCTGGTCCAATTCATTACCCACCACACACAGACCCACCCTTCTTCCATTCTTTTTGGTTCTGTTTTTCGAGACAGGGTTTCTCTGTATTGCTCAGAAGGCAGTCCTGGAACTAGCTGTTGTAGACGAGGCTAGCCTCGAACTCACAAGAGATCCGCCTGCCTCTGCCTCCCACGAGTGCTGGAATTAAAGGCGTGCGCCTCCACCACCTGCCTTTCTTCCATTCTTAAATCCAACTCATCACCCAGAGAACAGAGCCAGCTCCTACTTGATTTGCCTCACAATAAAACACCATTACCACAAAAGTTCCTCTCATTTGGAATGATCTCTCCTGAGCACCAGGTCTGTGCCCCTTGCACGGCAGGGCTCCCAGTGTGACCACACTAATTCCTAGGCTGTCATGTCCCCTTCTATCTTAGAGTCCAGTAGGCTGTGTCCTCTCAGTCAGCATGCGTCAAATCAAACAGGCACTCCTAACTTTTGCAGATGAAGAGAAACAACCAGAAGAACTGAGGTAAGTTGAAGTCACAACAGGGCAACACCAAGTCCAAAGCTTAACCAGGAAAAGAACCATAAAATTTAGGGACTTAGATTTATGTTCCTTCTCTTCAAAATCCACCTCACTTGGGACATCATTCTCACTGTGGGTTGCAAATCTATTCCGCTGGTCACTCTGTAGACCAGGCTGGCCTGAACTTAGATTAGAAAGATCCACCTGCCTCTGCCTCCTGGATGCTGGGATTAAAGGCCTTACTTTAACATTGATAACGTGAACTGGGAAGTTGAGGCAGGATGACTGAGGTTGGAGTAGGACGGCCCCATAGACTCATACACGCGAGCCCAGTCACCAGGGAGTGGCACTGTGTGAAGAGTAGGAAGTGTGGCCTTGTTGGAGGACGCGTGTAGCTGAGCTGAGAGCTGAGGTTTCAAAAGCCCACGCCAAGCCCAGAGTCTCTCTGCCTGCCATCAGGGTGTGGTTCTCAGCTACTGCTCCAGTGCCTGCCTGCATGCTGCCATCTTCCCCACCACTATAATAATTAAATGTTTTCTATTATAAGTTGCCTAGGTCATGATATATCTTCACAGCAATAAATCAGTGACTAAGATAATGACTTGGTTCAAGGCCACCTGAAGCCACATAGCAAGATCAAAAGGCATAAAGAGCATGCGCAAACACACACATTAGAAAAAAAAAAACCAACAAACCCCAAGTCCAGAAAAGGTTTAAGTTGGGAAGAATTCTTGAGTTCTGCTGCAGCCCCGAGCAGAGCTCCTTCCAGGGGCAAAGAAGCTCTCCACCTCATCCCTTCAGCTTTTCCAAACAGCCAACCTGATCCAGCTGGGTTCTGTCCTAACAGGCCTGGCTTACAGACCACAGAAAACCTCCAAAAGTGGCCCTGCACCAACCATGATAAAACAGCCCCTAAAAATAAAAAATAAACGGGGATGACCCTGTTGGGACAGCTCAATGATTAGGAGCACTGACTGCTCTTCCAGAGGACCCTGGTTCAATTTCCAGCACCCACATGGCAGCTCACACCTGTCTTTATCTCAGTTCCAAGGAACCCAACACCCATGGTGAAACATCAATACATATAGAATAAAAATAAATTTAAATAAATAAGGTGCTGGAGAGATGGCTTGGGGGTTCAGAGCACTGGCTGATCTCCACAAGGTCTAGGTTTAATTTCCAGTCCCACGTGGCTGCTCACAACAATCCGCTAACTCCAGCTCCCTCTTAGGGCCTCGGCATTCACCAGGCACTCAGGTGTGCACATACACGCATGCTCTCAGTCAAACACACAAACAATTAGACCTTTTATTAAATAAATAAATGAAACCCACAGGTCAAATGGAAGATACTTTTCTCAGGACAGTTCTGGTCCTTGCAAAAGTTCAGGTAAGAGTGCAGGGGCAGACAGTCCAGGGTAGCAGCCACGTGGGAAAAAAGACTCCATCATGTGTCCTGAGCTTCAAACCAATTTGAAGTTTTTGTATTTCACAATTTATATTTTTATTAGGGTCCATATTCTGCTAACAAGACATTTAAGAAACTACACAATTTATGTCTTGGGAATTTAATTTCATTCAAGAAACAAAACAAAACTTGGTGTACATTTGTCTATCTTAAAATGTTGTTTCATCCATGGTCTACGGTACACGAATGTGGAAGACTTGATTCCATCACTCAAAGTCACCCCATTAGTATTTTAAAATGTTTTACAACAGAAAGCTTGTCCTCTCAATAAAATATCCAGTCTCATTCAGCATGTAAAAAATAATTTAAAGCCCACTGATACACACACTCACACACAGAATGGAAGCTAATACTTTGAGATCCACTTTTATTTTCTTTTTCCTCCTCACATACAGAACTTCTCACACATTTCTTGCAGCTAAAGTCACTTGATGTTGGCAAGGTACCATTTTATCCCTAAACTTTGTTGGCATCAAAATATGACAGTTACCAGTGTTAAATCCATGAAATATTTACACAGCACAGCACATGAAGCTTTAGACGTTTGGCAATTACACACAGAAGACGAGACCCCCCACTCTGCATGTTTGGAACTGGGAGCTCACTGGTCCCTATCTGGCGACCGTACACTGGTTCAAAGGGCAGCAGAGGCAGCAGGCAGTTACTTCAGGACACTGAACACTATGATCTGGAAGCACATTATGATGTCATCCCAGTGTGTACCACACCACCTCCTCCAAGGTGGCCTCCTCATCCTAGAATGGCAGGTCCAGCTGATACAAAATGGGGACAGACGTTTATTCTGTGGAAACGCCCTACTCCTAGGGGCTTACTGTGACCTTGAACACAACTCGTCCCAAAAACTTGTCACGGTCATCCTTGTTTTTTAGGTTCTTTGGTCCATCAATTTGGCACTCAACTGTTACTTCTTTCTTGACAGAACTAGATCCAAAGATGACCTGGACGGCAACTAGGGGCTGTCGATACCCAACCTAGCAAATGGAGGAACAAATATTAGTCACAATTCTTTGGTAAATTCACCTACACTTAGAAACCCAGTTGCAACTTCCTTGAAGCAAGGTCTCAATTTGTAGCCCAGGCTGATTTCCTATTTCCAAGCCACTTGTCTCAGGATTACAGACATACCATACCGTAATCTCTTATTTGCCTTATAATATTAAGTCTATGAACTTAGCCTATTATCTTATTTTCTTTACCTTCCTTCTTGCTATGGCTATTCCCTTAGCACAGCTTTGAGGGCATCTTGTTGGTAACTGCATCATTTGATTCAACCTCTGGATGCCTGATCCCTGGCAATTCCATTCTGATCCCAACATATTAGCACAATCCACTTACAAATGTATTTATGAGATTTTAGCTGTTCCAAAAATCTTAAAGATGATGTATCTCCACTATGGGCTCAGTTATACATTACTGTATCATTTCACTTACACACACCCTTTGCATGGCATAACTGGGATATGCACCCACTACTGCTCCTGGCGATCACTATGGCTGTTTGTAGGAACAAGCCTGCTGATAACTGAGTCAGGCAAGAATAACAAATGCTAAAGCTTTCCAAATAGCTGATATACAAAGTTTATGTTCTCCATACATACTTACTGAAGAACAAAAGAAAAATCTAACTTTACAGTGTGGAAGCCTAGCCTAGCACCCCAAGAGATTGTGGTCAACACATAGTAATGGACTCAGTCAATAGTGACCTTTCCTATATGACTTCAAATAGAATACATCTACTAACTTCCAAAAAAATACAAAGAAACTTAAACTCCAATTGAGTCCTCCCCCGATCCCAGACCTAGTTCTGAAGCATACAGAAGCAGGAGACAGAGGGGCCAAGAAGCCACAGCATAGCCCTCACAAGGCAGCCATGCTTGTCATTTAGCCCGATGATGCACAGACGGGTAAGATAACATGTTAAGATCTGCTAGCATGCTTTCAGAACACACTATTCTAGGCATTTTGAGTTGGGAAGAATTTTAAGGTAAGTTTAAAGACATGACAAAACTTTATGGTTTTCTGAATATTTATATTCCAAAATCTTAAAATCACAAATCCTGTGTCTAAACAATGAGTTTTTACATCTGACCTGTAAAGAGTACCTACAACTTTCCGAGCAAAAACAGAACCAGTATTCTGAAAAGAGCCATCCTTGAGCCTGGACACAGCGCTGCTGTGTTGTCAGCGTGGTCTCCACTAGTCCTCCCCACTTGTAGGAACCAACAGAAAACGTGGATGACGAACAAGTGACACACATCTGTGTCTATCACAGGGGCCATCTCATATCTCAGTACATACAGTTTCCTACGAGATGACTCTAAATACTTACGTGCCGTTTTTTCCCATAGTATGGAAAATACTTTAAGTCTATAACTCCCCGGTCAGGATAAGTTGATATATTTGCTATGTTATTTTCCTAGAGTTGAAAGCAAAAGAAATCATTTTTAGGTCACAGTAAAGACTTTTCAAATATGTTTACAATTACCGACAGTTCCTAGTTATGATGAAACTGCTTCAGCCACATTAATTACAAGTGTTTCTGAGAACTGCTTGTCTTTGCTGTTGAGACAGGTCTCACTGTGTAGCTCAGCCTTGTCTTAAAGCTACGGCAATCTGCCCATATCAGCCTCCCCAAGTGCTAAGATTTCAGGCATGCACTACCACATGACTGCTCATCTTGATTATAAATATTACATAATCAAATGCTTCAACATAAACTATCCTGGTACTTCTTATATTCCCAATATACCCTAGGAGTCTTTTCTCAGTTACAGTGGGTGCCGCCGCCTATGAACTGCAAACCCAGCTCTTTGACACTGACAGCAAACAGACCAGTTAGTTTGGGCCGAGGTTTCACTAATGAATGAAATATTATGCTTCCAGATTTTAAGCAATAGCGTCCAGAAGCTAACAACCAAAGAGGAGCACTCAGACCTAGAAGTAGGTAGAGGCTACATTACAGTTCAGAACCATAACTGTAATCAGGATAAACCACCTTGCAACAAACAGAAAAAGAACTCATAGTTCCTATGAATAAATAGAGAAAAGCACCATGTTCCAACCAGTCAGTCACTGAGTATCTGTGTCTACACATCCCATGCATGGCGCCTAAGTGGATTCCTGGCACTGAGACAAACACAACTCCAACAAGTCAGCCCCAAGCTCACAAGCATCACTCAACACCTCGGCTTTTGATCTGGATGAACTCAGACTCCTGTGTGGTGCTGGAAGCTTGTGTGTGCTGAGCACAAGTGTTACCGTCGATCTGCAGGCCAGTCTGTGGTGTCTACTTCTGAGAGCACACAGAGAAGAAGCGACAAACTCTGACTGCATAGACAGCAGCCTTGCTCTCTGCTTCTTTATTTCGTGACCATGTGTGTGCGTGCACGTGCACAACATGCACCACACTCATAAGCAGCAGGCAGGGACAGTACTGGGTACACAGATGACACCCTCCCTTCCATTGATGTTCCGTAGGCTTTTGTTTTGTTTGTTTTTTTTTTTTTTTTTGAGACAGGCTCTGGCTATGTAGTCCAGCTTTGATTATAGCATTTATCATCATGTAGCAAGACAGATAGCAAAAAGAGAAAAGAAAACCCAAGTTCTAATGACCTAGATAAAATGATAGGAAAGCCAGTAGATAATGACTAAGAAACAATGGCCACATTTAAGAATGATCATCCATCGGGGTGTTCCTGGCAGCTGTCACTCACCAGCACTGTATGCTTAGCACGCGGGTGTAAGCGGTTTGATCCTTAGTGCTTAAAATTTTACATTTTATGCTAGACAGTGGTCGCATGCCTTTAATCCCAGCACTCAGGAAGCAGAGGGAGGCAGATCTCTTGAGAGTTCGAGGCCAGTCTGGACTACAAACAAGTTCCAGGACAGCCAGGGCTGTTACATAGAGAAACCATATCTCAAAAAACCAAGAAATTGTTTTTAACATTTTACATGAAGAAGTCATACTGATGAGAATGTTTCTATGTTAACTAATTTACTTTAAACTTGGCACTAATGTGACTTTCATGCTAAGAGCGCAGAAGTGTATGGTAAGTAGAGTTTTAGAAGAATTTATCGAGGAAAGTTCAGTTACTGGGAAGATGAGATGGTTCAGAGAATAAAGGTCTAATCTCACACATGCTATTGCACAAGTACACACACACACACAACATCAAATAACAAAAAGCCTTCAGCTAACGGGACATGCATGTAGTTTTATTCGAAATCAACCCCCTTTTTGAGAAAGGGTCTCATTATGTAGCCCTGACTGTCCTGCAACTCACTATGTAGGTCCAAACTCACCGAGATCCACCTGCCTTAACTTCCCAAGTGCCAGGATTAAAGACGTACATCACCACACCAGGCTTATGCCCTCCCCACCCCCAAAGGTAGGGTTTTGTATAGTTTTGTGTAATTTGGGGATACTGGGTTTTTACTAGGTAGCCTTAGCAGGCCTAGAACCCACTATACAGACCAGGCCTCAAACTCTGAGGTTTGCCTGCCTTGGTTTCCCAAGAGCTCATATTAAAGGCAAGGCACCCATGCTTAAGGCACAGACAGGTAGCTCAGGCTAGTTTCAAACTTTTAATTCTCCGTCCCATCCTCTCGGAGTGCAGACATTATAGGCATGTAAAACTGTGCCTAGTTAAGATTCTAGTTCTCTAAGATTCTTGGGAGAACTGAGTGTGGCATGCAGAGGTAAAGCGACCTGTCTCTGGTTGTAATCTCCGCACTCACCTAGAAGGAGCTACAGGCTTTGTTCAATCCCTCCAAACACTGGCTAACCATCAAAGGGCAGCGCCAAAGCAGCCACTCAGTGAGGCCTGGACAGCAGCAGCAGCACCTGGGATTCAGGAGCACAAATTCTGGACTCTGCCCATATAGGACTGGGGACCAACAAGCCCAAGTGACTCTGGGGCATGACGATGTTTGCACGGCAAAGTTTCTGCCCAAGTAAGAAATTCATCTCTGACTTAAGAAATTATGTTTTCTCCTGAACGTTAAGAGCAAGTTCAATGCAACATCTTAGTTTATTCTGCATACAGCTGGAGATGGATACTAACATCAGCAAAGTGACAAATTCGAGCTTAAATGTGCTTCTTAGACTTTTTACTCATCATTTCTACATTTGTCTTAGTTGTGTTTGTAGCATGGAAAGAAAACAAGCTACAGGATGAAGTGCACAGCACGTCCCTAAGGAGAAAAAAAAATGCAAAACAGAAGCAAAAGAGCACCTCTACCTTAAGGAAAAATAGCAGATTTCATTAATTACCAGGTGACACTGATAATTTTTAAGACTTGAAAAAAAATCCTGATACAGAACAGGACCCCTGGGGTTGTAATGCCAACTTCATTACTAAACTAGAAAACACATCCTAAGACCAATGAAATGCAGTGCATGTGAACAAATACGGGCAGAACAAACAAGTAGAAATTGCCTTTCAAATAGTATATTAGATGGCCGGGCGGCAGAGGCAGGCGGATCTCTGTGAGTTAGAGGCCAGTCTGGTCAACAAGAGCTAGTTCCAGGATAGGCTCCAAAGCTACAGAGAAACCCTGTCTTGCAAAACCAAAAAACAAACAAACAAAATAGTGTATTAGCAAACACAGGGTCACCCTAAAAAGTCTGGTCATGCTTTTTTTTTTAAGTATTTGAAAAACAGGAAAGCTAAGGGGTGGTAGCACACACACCCTTAAGCACTCAGGAAGTAGAGGCAGGCAGATCTGAGTTCAAGGTCAGTCATGGAAACACAGAGAAACCCTGTCTCAAAGGGAATAATAATAACAATAACAAAATAATAAAGAAAGGAAAAGGAAAAGAAAAAGAAACATGAAAGCATTAGTAACTGAAATACTAACCTTTGGTGTGCACAGAATCCGTGGAACTCCCAGTGGGATTAATTCAATTATCTAAGGTTAAGAACATAGTCAACACACATAAATGCAATGGAACCTCCTCTTCTGTTGCTGGGGGTCAGGGCAGAGCAACCGAGATTAGCACTACTCTGTATATTCAACTCAGCTAGACTAACCTGTGTTTTACAACATAAAAACCAACCTTCCAATGTAGTTAAGGACTGTACCGAAGCAATGCAGTCATGTATTTGCCACATATAAAACAACAAACCTTTAAATTACAGGGGCAGAATATAACAAACTATTGTGTTTACTTGTTTTGAGAAAGGATTTTGCTTATAGCCTAGGCTAGCCTTAAGGATGCTCCTGTCTCCACCTCCCAAATGCTGAGGTCACAGATATGCACTACCACACTCACTTACAATACAATATTCACTATGAAATATGTTCACACTATCCCTTCTCCTAATGGCACATATTGAGAAGAATCCCTCTCCCCCACAATAAGTTTTAGTGGTGATGAGACCAAAGCCAGGGCCTTGACCATACTAGGTAAACACTAAACATGAGTTGTAATCTCAGCCTTTGGATCTTTTAGAATTGTAGTCATCCATCTACTTAAAAAAAAATTTTTTTTTATTTATTCGCGCGCGTGTGTGTGTGTGTGTGTGTGTGTGTGTAGGGGATATATGTAGAAGACCAAGGACAAATTCCATGATTTGGTTCTCTTCTTCCACATAGGTAATAAAAAGCCAAACTCAGTTCAGACTGGTGGCAAGTGACTTTATCACCAGCTCTATCTTCTAAGGTTTTATTGTTGTTTTGCATTCGGAATTCGAATTCAAAGGTTTTCAAGACTTAAAGAGGCCTCCAAACGTCAAGCCGTGGAAGCCTGTAGAAAGGCATGGACAGCAGATCCTGTCTTCTACTCATAGCTCTGGAAGCACTCGGGAAATGCTACCAGCTGGATCCGAAGCTTTCCTGTGAGCTGCAAAGCCAGCCTTTAAAGCGAGCAAGATCTCTGAGTCCCATCATGCAAAGGCCATTTCTAAGAATATAAACTCAGAAGGTGGTCCTCTGAACAGGAGGAGATTTTCAGCAATATAGCAAATACAGTGAGGACAGTTGCTGCAGGCCGGTGTTACTGAAGACATCCTCATAAAAGGAATGTATTTCCTTACAGCACAGATCACTTTCCACATTCCTTCTGGCTTACTGTTATGGCCTTAGTTAAGTCTTGTTAAAACATCCCACTAGCACTGGCTATAACTACAACACTGTATTGTGCTCATTAGTATATGGTTTATTTATATTCCCACTATTTAATTATACATACCACTATAAGCTTTAGTACTATTTACAAAAATACATAAAATCCACAATTAAACTATGAACCTTGGCCATATTTATTTCCCCTAAAGCATTAACTAGTCCTGCTAGCCTTTTCAGTGAATTATTCCAGTAAGATGACACTTACTAAGGCATGAACTCAGGCAGAGAAGCCTAAAAAGCAGCTATCAGCTTCACAGCTGCACCCCATGTACATGTGACTGCTAGAAACAAGCTGCAGCGGAGGGAAAAGAAGTACGTACTCTGTTCATTTTCACAAGAATACAAGGCTGGCCTTTGGAATAGCCAAAATCAGCATCATTCACACCACTGCAATCTTGAAGCAAGGAAACTGGAAACTGACATGCTTGATAAACTGGACCATTCTGTTCAAAAACTTCTCCATCGGGGCAGTTTGTGAGATTCTTCTGTTCTTCTACAGAATATGCTAAAAAGGAAACGTGTGTGCCAGATCAGCTAAGAAGAGATACCAAACACAGCCACAAACAAGTCAAACTATTCCTCAAACCATCGTTGTTCAAAGACAACAAACAGCAGCAATGTGAATTACCAGGTAATAATAGCGAGCGCTCAGTAGAGGCTAAGCTCGTCCCGTTGCCTGGTAACAGTTAGCCAATGCCCTAAAGCTTCTGGCTTCCAAGAGTGCCCGGGCTAAATAACAGAGCTGTTTCACCACTATGCCTGGCACTAGCAACAGCTACAATGGCAAGGATGTGCAAAGGTGTTGCTACTGCCCCCCGGGCCTACAATGTCATGGGGGAAACAGTATATTCAGCACTGCAGAGCGATGGAAAGAAACGGCACTCTAACAGTTTACGGCAAGGGGACGCCACTGACCTGAAAGCAGGGGGGGAGAAGCTGGACCATAGAAATTTTGTAAAAACTGTGAAGTACTGAGGAAGAAGGGTTGCCAAAAGAATCATGATGTTCCATTAAAAGATTTTTATACCAGGCAGAGTGGTCACAGGTATGACTGCATTTATGTCAGTATTTATGCTGGGCAGAACAGATCCATGCAGGACGTGAAACAGACCCGGTGCAGCACAGGTAAGATGTCAGCTGAGAAAGGTGCTGCGCATGGGGACGACAGGGGTAACTAGGTACATTTAAACCAAAGAAGTACAATGTTTAGGAACCAGAAAGACGATCCAGTGAAAGCCATTCAGAATTAGGATACACTGTTGAAGTATCCTAGTGACAACTACTGGCCTGTGTATACAACTGGAACCACAAAAGGCCATCCAATACAACACAAACAGAAACATTTCAAAGGGAACTCTTTCAGAAGGAAATGTAGTGGAGATTTTGTTTTGTTTTTGATACTTTGTGGATAAGAAGGTTATCAACAGTGATGGCTAATCCAGACTGTCATGTCCACACAACTGAAGAACAGCCGCCCTCAAACTAGCTTAATGAGTCTGACAAATTTTCTTTTTCTTTTTTTTCTTTTTCTTTTTGGTTTTTTGAGATAGGGTTTCTCTGTAGCTTTGGAGCATGTGCTGGATGGAACTCACTCTGCAGACCAGGCTGGCCTTGAACTCACAGAGATCTGCTTGCCTCTCTGCCTCCCGAGTGCTGGGTTTAAAGGCATGTGCCACTAGCACCCAGCTGAGGAATATTCTTAACTGCTAATTGATGTAGAAGGGCCCAGCCCACTGTCCACAGTGCCATCCCTGAGCAGTGGACGGGGGCTGTATTTAAAAAAAAAAAAAAAAAAAAAGGGGCAGCTCCATGGTCTCTGCTTCATCTCTTGTCCTGACCAACTTCCCTCAACGATAAACTAGAAGTTGGTGAGCTGAAACACACCCTGCTCTCCCTGACTTGGTTTTGATGGTGGTCATCACAGCAACAGAAAACAAGCTACATCACAAGGGCATCTGTCTCTGAGAAGGGTGGCAGAGACTGAACTCCAGGCTTCATTATGCTAAACATGTCATCTACCTCTGAGCTGCAACCCAATCACATGCATTTAGTTCAAAGCAAAGAATGACAGGGACTGATGTGGGAGTGTCATATCAATCTGTTGATTTCATTGGCTGAGCAATAAAAGAAACTGCTTGGCTGGCCCTCATAGGTTAAAGCATAGATGGGAGGAGAAAACAGAATAGGATGCTGGGCGGAAGAGGAAGTGAGGTCAGACTCTGCTCTGCTCCTGGAGAGAGACGCAATAGCTCTGCGCTCTGAGGCAGCCGCATGAAGCTCAAACCCACGATGGACGGAGGCTAGATCTTCCCGGTAAGCGCACCTTGGGGTGCTTACACACATCATTAGAAATGGGCTAGTCCAGGTGCGAGAATTGGCCTGTAAGGGCTAGAGTTCATGGGCCAAGCAGTTCTTTAAATGAATACAGTTTGTGTGTTGTTATTTCGGGCATGAGCTAGCCAAGCGGCCGGGGTGTTGGGGACGCAGCCCCGCCGCTCCTATTTCAACAGGGGACTGTCTGAGAAAGCGCTACTCATTACTCCTCCACACATTTCCCCAGAGCATCCGTCCTCTGGAGCAAAGGCTGCTGCTTAGAATGGTTGTCAAGCAGACTTCCACTTCTACACAAAATTAAATGCAAGGAGCTGGGAGTGTGAGGGCATGATGGGAATATAGACAATTACAATTTCAGAGTAACCAGAGTCCTGTACACCTGAGGAAAGCTTGAAATAAGAATGTTAAAAAGAGTTAATTTTAACAAAATAAAACTTTCAATTTAGAATCTGTCAGAAGGAAAAAAAAGAGACCCTTTACTTTTAAACCATATATTTGTCTTTTGAACATTGGGAAGGAAATTCCTAAAAAACCAACGACAGGTGAATATTTAAAAACAAAACCAGTGTACTAGGTGAGATGACTCAGCACATAAAGCAGCTTCTGCTATAGCCTGATGACCCCGAATCCAATCCCCAGAATTTACATAAGAGAGAACGCTGCTCCTACAAGATGTCCTTTGGTCAACAAACAATATATTCCTAATTTAAAAAAAAAGTAATAAAAATCCAAAATAAAAACAAAACTCCAAGGGGATTAAAAGGTACAGTAAGCTCTGGAGAGTTTTTTTAAGTATAAACAAAATGAGAGAAACATAAGATACAACACAAAGCTGTCACACTGGAGAACCTACACTCAGCTGAGTATGAAATGTTTCAGGTCACTGAAGGCTCAACTGAAAAGGCTCATTACCTCCCAGCAAAATGGTTTTGAAAATGAAATCCAAAAAAGCATTTTAATTTTATCTCAAATTTTAATCTCAAAATTTAATTTTATCTCAATGTTAATTTGAGATAAGAAATTATAAGCCCAGACTTGGTATTAAGGCAAGAGGGCCATATGTGTTCAAGGCCAGTGTGAGTTACTCTACCTCAGGAAGAAAAATTGTACTAGTAAAGATACAGAAAACAGGGCTGGAGACATGGCTCAGTTTAAGAGCACTGGTTGTTGCTCTTCCTTCCAGAGGTCCTGAGTTCAATTCCCAGTAACCACATGAGAAAACTCCGTAACGAGATCTGGTGTATAGGCATATATGCAGAAAGAATACTGTATACTTTATAAATCTTAAAATCTTCAACAAACAAAAAACCAAAACCAAAAAGATCCATTCTGTAGTCTGGTTTCAAAAGTCTTCTTAGTGATTCTTCAAACATGAGATCAATCCATGTATACTCACTTCTTAAATCTCCCATCCTGGTCAATTATAGGAGTCAATGAATACAACAGGCCTCTAAGGACCTTCAAAACCCGGTCCTCCTTTAAGACCCAATGTCCATCTCCTACTACTTCCTGGCTTGCTGTATCCAGCCACTCTTCCTCCCGATGAATGTGACTTTAGACAGTTCTCTGGGTCCCTCGTCCTTCAAGGGTTTAGTGTCAACCAGGCATCTCAGCCCAGCCTTCAAAACTCACAATCCAGCTGGGGGTTGGGGGGTGGTCACCATGAATCCCAGCACTCCAGAGGCAGAGGCAGGCAGATCTTTGTTTGAGGCCAGTCTCGTCTACAGAGCTAGTTCCAGGACAGGCTACACAGAGAAACCCTGTCTCAAAAAAAACAAACAAAAACTAGACGGGGAAGAATGCTAGAGGAACGAAGCTGTGATCACCAGCCAGAGCAGAACCACTAGCACAGGACAGGGGAGAAAGCTAACAGTCTAGCAAGACACAGTGGTGCTGGGAAAGCTCCATGACTTTGGCAACTAGGGAACAACTGTGGTGTACTGTGTGGCTGAGAAGGGATAAGATGGTCAAGTAAACCAAAGTTCTTACTATTTCCTCATTTGACTGTTATTATATTTATAGGAATTTGCTTAAGCCAGCTACAATAAAGACGTTGCCTACAACACTTATTAGAGAGAATCATGTACTGGTGACTCTAACAAACGTAAGATGAGCACATTACACTCTGACACAGGCACTGTCCCAGACACAAAGGAACACATAACAGGCTGCGGTGCCAGTAGTGGGGGGCACTTGCCCAGCATGCCAGCACCACAGGAGACTCTGACACTCAGAGGCACTGTTTACAGGACACAGATTTGCCTTCATTCTTACAGCTGACAGTGAGTTTACTTGCAGATCCTCCCAGCTGTCTGTGTTTGAAACAGGGAGAACAAAATTGGAAAACTGACTAGAAAATGCTGCTTCTCCAGGCAATTCCAAGTGGCACTGGGCTCTGCAGGAACTACAGCTCTCCCCTCTTCTAGGTCACACTTACGCTCTAGGAACCTCTTCAGGTCTGCAGTGAACTTTCCATAAGTACTTGGCTCAGACATGTCATATGTATATTCCAAGGCAGTCACTGGTTTTGGAAAAACCATGAGTCCTAAAAAAGAGACAGAGAGGGTTATTAACAGTAAGAAACTACCTTTCCTTACTTTTATTCCCGAAGGGCTGTGTGTCCACAGATAAGTTACAATTATCAACAACTCTCTATTTGGATCAAATTATGAAAAACATCTAAAATAACTCAAATCTTTAAAACCAGTTAGACAAATTAATTAGAAACAGTCCCTAAATTTTATTATTTTCAGTTAATTATAATCATCACTCCTTCCTTTAAAACATACTGTTTTGCCAGGTGCTGTGTTGCCTTTAATCCAAGCACTTGGGAGAAAGTGGCAGGTGGAGCTCTGTGAGTTCAAAGTCAGTCTGGTCTACAGAGCTAGTTGGGGGGAGGGGGAGGGGCACCGACCACCAAAGAAACACACACACAAAATCCTGTTTTACTCTGAATTGTGTGCGCATGGGTGAGGGAGGGAGGGAGGGAGGGAGAGCACGCGCACACATGCATTCCAGAGCACACTATTAGGTGCTCCTACTCTCATCAGCTTCCACCTTATTCTTGAGCCGGTCATTTCTCAGTGAATTTGGAATTTGTATTTTTTTCTGCTAAGCTGGCTACTCAGTCAGCCTGTGGCCTTCCTGCATTCACCCTCCTCACTAGAGTTACTGGTACAAGTGGCAATGCTTGGCTTTTACTAAATGTTAGGAATCTGAACTCATGTTTACATAGCAAGTTCTCTTACCACTGAGCATTCTCCCTTGCTTTTACTTTGAACTTTCTAAACCCAGGTTTTTATCAAATACTATTTTAGGTTTTTTTGCTGCTTGCTGTTACAGATTAAACAACAAAACAGAAACTCTTGAGCATACCAGAAACTAAGAACGTAAGTATAAGCCACCAGCAGGTGCCCACCTGCTCAGTCTAAGCACTTTATCATTCAAAATACAACTATGAAAACATATTAAAGACAGTCTACTCTTTTCAGCTAAAGAGTTTCCATTTGGAACCCTGTAAATACTCTTTTCCTTCAATAACCATTCAAGTATGTTTCTTACATACCAAATTTGGATTACAACCAGTAATAATTTCATCAGGAGTTGATAGCCATGCATATAGAGCAAAGAAAGGGCAAACATACTTGTCTACAAAGAATAATCTGGCTTCTAACTTTAATACAAACATTTCTCATATCTAAAAACTTTGTGCTAAATACACACTTGTTTATATATTTACTTATTTATACTGTAAAACTACAATACAATGAATAATATTATAGAACTCTGTTTTTTTTGGGGGGGGGGGGACAGGTTTTCTGTGTACAGCTTTGGAGCCTATCCTGGAACTAGCTCTGTAAACCAGGCTGGCCATGAACTCACAGAGATCCACCTGTCTCTGCCTCCCATGTGCTGGGTTAAAAGGCATTTGCTGGCACCACTCAACTTAGAACTCAGTTTTGAACACACTTTACTGTTTAGATGGTTTGTACAATGACAAACAGTTTAGCATTTTCTGAGGTTAGATTAGATTATGGCTGATAATAACACAGTCATATATAACTTAGAAAGAAAATGAAATTTAAATTAGTGTAGGCAGAGGACAAAAGGTATATTAGTTGTAAACAAAAAACTAGAACAAAAAAATGGCTGTGGAAGTTGGTGTGGATTCTCTGGTAATAAAGGTCAGAACTCCTCAAAGTGGGAAAAATATGGACTAGAATGCCTCAGCATGAGTTTGAGTGGGATAACTCTGTTGGGAAGGAGGGGCTGTCCTGCTCAGCAGCATCCTTGGCTTCTACTGGCAAATACCGCTCCAGTTCCAGTAACTAACAGTGACTCCAGACATTGCCAAGTGGTCCCTGGAAGACACATCAAAAGTGGCTGACAAATCAAATGTTCTACGGAGCAACTTTCCACTTTCCCCACCTGCTGGGCCCACTCATTCTCCTTGCTACCAGGCTTCTCCTCCTCTATAGACAGGCGTGTCCCTGTTCTGGAAAACTTGTTACACTTGGGGAATTCCATGCACTACTTTTCCTCTTAAATGTCATCAAGCCCAGGTCCTCACTCCCTCAGAACTTCTCCTATGGAGTTCTTTTTCACTTTTCTGAATAAATATTGATTTACTCGGCCGAAAAAGCCAGGACTAGGCTAGGGATGTAACTTGGTGCTGGAGAACTTGCTTAGCCTTTGTGGCGGGGGTGGGGGTACAGTTTAATTTCCAGTATTGTCACACAAACACTGCCAGTTCCTTGAGGCAGAATTAGCATTCAAAAACTGTTTCAAAAGAATAACATCAGGTGAAGAAAATGTAGTTTACATAACTAATGTTTCAGGTAAGAGTTTTTTTGCTAAAAATCTAACCTTTAGCATAACAGATTTTTAAATGACAGAGAACTAGGCATATCAAGAACACACTGCCTTTACTCTCTAATGATGTCATCTTTTTCACCACTCTCATACCAACCAGTCAAAACCACAGGGCATCTATTTTATCAGACTAATAGTATAACTCAAGCCAGAGCCAAACATGTGCTTCCTCCATACTGAAGGCAGTGTGAAGGTGCTGTACACCTTCTCAACTCTTCATAAGATTCCAACTCACTTCACTAAAACATTCATTTCTGCTGTGATGTTTAAAAGCTATGATAATGTCAACACCATTACCTGGACTAGTAATCTGGTCTCGGTATTTCGGAATCTCATCATTCAGTGTCTGGAGCATGGCCCACATTGTGAATGTGAAGAGTGCAGCCAAGAACCCATAGAAAACTAGGTAGAAGAGCAAGATCAGACCTGTAGGAGAGACAAACACCCGTGAGATGAGATATACACAGGGACTCACACGGGCTCGAGCAAACAAACTGTTCAATGCAGGGGTGGGAGCCCATGCTTTGCCATGCACGCAGCCAAGTATCCTCATGTGGAGGGTACAGAAGTTGCCTAAGCAAGGGGAGCTCTGGCAAGCAGCTGCCTCTAACCCCATGAGCCCTCCTCTCATATCATGTCCTTCCAGCGAAGAAGTTTTCAATACTCATTCTCTGGTTCAAAGTTAGAACTTTAGCCTAGTGGTGGAAGCACACACCTTTAATCCCAGCATTAGGGAAATAGAAGCAGGCGGATCTCTCTGAGTTCAAGGTCAGCCTGGTCTAGGACAGCCAGAGAAATACCACCACCACCCTCAAAAAGAAAAAAAAAAAAAAAAAAAAAAAAACCAAGAGCTTTAAAAGTCCAGCACATGGGGGAGTGCTTCTCAAAAAGAATTTCATGCCCTCAAAACTAAGATGCCCTTAGGTGGGACAGCCTCCCCCAACATACTCAGATGTTTAAGTGGCAAGTTAAAAAACAAAAACAAAAAACCCTCCTCTATACCTGTACTTCAGATACTTTATGTACAATACAGTTGTTACGGTTCTGTTGGTGGTGCTTTGTTGGGGGGAGGGGGGGTTGTAGCTTTTTGGAGAGAAAAGGCTGGCCTGAAACTCAGAGACCCACCTGTTAAGTGCTGGGATTAAAGGTGTGTGCCACCACACTCGGCTTTATGTTAACATTTTAAAGGGTGAGTTAACTTAAAGAATAACCAAGAAATGTGCAGAGAAGGAAAAAAATCATAAAGATGAAATTCAATAAAGTTTGAAAACAGTGGTTAAGTAGAAGGGCTCATGCAAACATGCAGAGAAGAGGACAAGACCAGAAGCAAGCACTGCACCCCAGGGCACAGCTCTGCAGAAAGGGCACAAAGCACCATGTGACAGATACATTTCAATATACCCAAACTCAGTCCCACCCCTATAACTGGAAAACACTTAGGTCTATCCCAAGCCAATGATTTGTTTTGGGAACACCAAAAATGATCAGTATTTTTTTCACTTATCAGCTACATTCAAAGTTCTAATATTAGAAATGACTATCTTCAAAATTATATATCAGAATATAGTTGAAGTAAGTTATTAATATTTAAATGTTTTTTAAAAGTAATGGATGATGCAAGGAGAAACTAAAGAATATTCAACTCTACCGAACTGACATCTTACCCGCTTTACTCCCATCTTAATATATCTATCTAAGTCCTCCTAAGAGGACTCCCACAGGAACAAATTCAAAGGGCTTATAAATTTCATAATAATGAAAATCTGAACATACTTATTCATCCACACCCCACAAGTTGATACACAACTTTCTTCGATTCTTAAAGAACAAGATCCCAAAACAGATTATGCCCAAAGCCAGATAAACTTTCTTTACTGCAGGCCAGAAATCCACTTCAAAGGGAAATAGTCTAAGCAATGCTGACTGTCTAACAGTCTAACATTGGCTGGACTGTTAATTTAGACGGCATCCTACCCTTCCTCCCAGTTACCAGACACAGAGTGAGTGAACAGAAAGGAGAGACAGAGATCACCTTCGGGCAGCATCGCTTCCCACCACCCACTTCGGTCCTGCTGCAGAAAAAGAAAAAAGAAAAGGAAGAAGAAAAACAAAACCAAAAAAAAAAAAAAAAAAAAAAAAAAAAACAAACCCATGGGGTGAGTCATGTGCTACAGTGAGAAAAGAAACAGTCACTGCCTCCAGAAGAGGTCGCAGAGTGGAGCGAGCACCAACCAGTCCTAGGTGCTCACATATGCTCAGGAGTGTTGCATCCTGACAATCAGCACACTGCTGCCAGAAGCGCTTAAAATTCATCCCAAAAGGTCTCACATCTGCAAACGTGTTAATTTCCAGGGAAAACAGTATAAATGAAACTCATGAACATGAAAAATCCAAAAATCATTATACAATAAAAGATAAGTGTTAAAGCTTCACATGAGGACTTGAATTAATAATATATATATACACACACACATATACAAATTTGTGCTGGGGATGTAGCTCAGTCTGCAGACGGGGTTCCTTCCCCAGCACTACATACTGGGTGTGGTGGCTCCTGCTGGTAACTCAAGGTCATCCTTGGCATCAGAGTTAGAGCTGACCCAGGAAACACGAGACCCTGACTGAACACATCCCCCACAGTACCCTGTACCAGATACCAGGCAATGAGTTACTTCTAGCGCTTATTTGCCAAAACACAAACCTAGCACTTAAAAACTAAAGCTAACCTCTCTTATAAACATCATCCAAGACTACTCAACAAGAGTCCTGATACTTTCTCAATGTAACCACCTCTTCGTCTCTGGAGGAAGAAAAAAATGGCAGAAAATAAAAACAAAGTTGTAACTTGCCCCAGGACTTGTAGTAAAGTCTGCAGATGGGCTGAACTCAACAACGAGGTGGTTCTACCTAGAACATCCAAAGCTCTACATCGTGTGGAGCCTTTGCAGTGTGCTATCTGCTTGGCCTACACACCACAGCAGCAAACAATAAACAACCATTCTATCACATGACTGATAAATACTTGCTGACTTCAAATCCTTCAAGAGACTTTAGTCATTATCCACGGGCAGAAACTAAGTGTTGAATATGGTGGTGCATACCTGTAATCCCAGCACCCAAGGGACTGAGGCTGGACTGCAAGTGGACAGTAGCCTAGAACTCACAGCAAAATACCCCTCCAAAACACAAAGCATCACCAGGTGGCAGTGGCATACGCCTTTAGTTCTAGCACTCAAGAGGCAGAGGCAGGAGGATCTCTGTGAGTTTGAAGCCAGTCTGGTCTACAAAGCAAGCTTCAGGACAGCCAGGATTGTTACACAGAGAAATCCTGTCTCAAAAAACCAAAAAAAGAAAAACAACCAACAAACAAAACAAAAACCCACAAAATAGCAACAACAACCAAAAGAAACTAACATGAACTTAAAAAATCTGAAGAAGCCGGGTGGTGGTGCACACCCCTTTAATCCCAGCACTTGGGAGGTAGAGGCAGGCGGACCTCTGTGAGTTTGAGGCCAGCCTGGTTTACATGAGCTGGTTCTAGGACAGGCTTCAAAGCCACAGAGAAACCCTGTCTCAAGAAAGAAAAAAAAATCTGAAGAAATGGGGCTGGAGAGATAGCTCAGCAGTTAAGAGCATGTTGCTTTTGTAAAAGAACTAGGTTCAAGTCACCACACCTACACTGATGGTTCACATCTATCCTAAACTTCAGTTCTAGGAAGTACAATGCCCTCTTTTGCCCTTAAAGGGCATCAGGCAAGCTTGTGGTGCACTTGCATGCATGCAGACAAAACACACATTAAAAAAAAAATCTGAAGAAATATCACGATATCACGGACAGACATGGTAAGTCACACCTGTGATGTCAGCACAATGGAGGCTGGAACAGGAAATTGTCAAAGAATCTCCATTTCAGCCAGCCTGGACTACAAAGTGAGTTCTAGGACAACTACGGTTACATAGAAGGACCCTGCCAGAAAGAAAGAAAAGGGAGGGCTGAAGTTATTACTGAACAGCATTCTCTGCAAAAGCCACTCTCACTGTCCAGCAGCCCCAGTGCTACCTTCTGATTCTACTCCGGGATCACTACATCAGCATGTTGTACAACCAGAAATCCCTTCTTCAGTGGGCACTGACTGCTTTCTCTTCTGTCATACTGTGGATTAAGCTCAGGGTCTTGAAGGTACTTGGCTAGTACTTCGCTACCAGCCCAGACTTCTATTTCTGTTCTTGAGACGACCGATTTTCAAAATGGTTTTCTTCATTTCTGATGAGGAGACAGAGCTAGGACAGAGCTCCAGCTGGAGCCAGTGCGCCAGGACAGCTGGAAACATGGGTCTTGCTAGTTCGACCTGGCTCTAATCTAGTGTCCTACTTTCATTCCCACTCTCAGCACCAAAAAGAAGCTAACAGTAGTACCAACCTAAGTATTCATTTTACAGAAGGAAAACTCAGAAGTCAAGGTTTGCTTTCACATTCCCATTTCCTATTGCGTGCATGTGTGAAGGCTCATATACGGCAGGCAGGATAACTCACAGGTTCCAACTCAGGAGACATTAGCTGCTGAGAGTTGATAAGATAGAAACAAAACTCCAGCAACAAACTAGAAACGTGTGGAATGGAACTGCAGTGGGGTTTACAGCAAACATAAGAGTCAAGTCTAACCTAATCAACTGCATCTACTCTAAAAAAAAAAAACCAACAACTTACTTGAGGTCTGGTTCATGTGTTATCTATACAATTAAGAAGAAATCTGGCCAAGGTTTACCCCGTCTCACAAACAGGTCCCATCCCATTCTGTCTCTTTGATTCAGCTCTAACTGTAAAATGTAGTCCTGCTACCAGGTGAATACAGGCCTTAGATGCTCCACCAGAAAGCTGGGTCCCAGCTGTGTCTTGGAAATATTTTGCTCCTTATCCTCAGCTTCCATCCCTCACTAGAAAAACCCAACAGAACTCAGGAGAGTTGTACGTTTTCTCTCAGGTGCTGTGGTCAGGGCAAGCCTCCAGCACATCTGCTCATACTCTCGGAGCCACTAAGATACAGCTTAGTTTGTACTAAGTCTCATCTTTTAGTGACACTAGACTGAATCCTAGACTGCTCTAGGGACTCAATTTACAACCCCCTTCTTCCTTTCCTGACAGTCAACTGAGTTCAACATCCCTAAACCAATGGGATGTGGGTCAGCCCTCATTCTGAAGCCAGGGATCTAACTTAATGTCTTCATCAGCATAACAAAAACGACAGAAAATCCCAGGGTTCTAAAGATCACGTCAGAAATGAGATAAAGACAAGTTCTCCAACATAGACCACAAGCTTCATCAAAACTGGACACACACTACCAGCCCAGAGGGCTGGGCAAGAGTATGCAGGCCAGCTGGGCTACAGTAAGACACTGGCTCAAAAAAGACCAAAGGGAAACAAAAGC